GTCGAGTCGGATGGCTTGGGCAGACAGTCCTAAAAGCTGAGAACATAGCTCCTATGGCTCACTTTCAAACCCCAACCAATTTCCGTTATCTGCGTGACTGTGTGTTTCCAGTAGCTTTCAAGCGAGACCAGTTGGATACTGTTGAACTACTGAAACTCATCGAATTCGGTGAGCGAAGTTTCTGTGCTCCCGCACGCGTAGTGCTAACAGAAAGCGAAGTAATAACCGGGCCCGCACGATAGTACGATTGGAGCCAATTTTCGTGTTCTATAAAGGACGGCAATCTTTGGCACTCTGCATCAGTAACTGACTGCCACAGGATCCAACTGAGTCCATGACTGGTCCGCTGTTAGTAGCCTTCAGGTTACTCGAAGTGAGCGTGTTTGATGGACGTTCGTACTGGTCAAGAAGAGACTACTTTTAGCACACAACTGAAGCAGTCGCTCCTTACTATCCGTACGCTGATCATCGGCTCCAAATCCACCACCTAAGTATGCTTCTTCTGGACATAGCCATCCAACTTGGGCATTCATATCACCGGCCAGGATTACTATATCCGTCCTTCTTGCTGACCGAAGCAGTCGTAATAGATCTGGATAGGATCCGTCCTTTTCAGTCACAGAAGTGCAGTATGTCGGGGCGTAAGATCAAAGGACAAAGAAACACGGTTTACTGCATCCATCTGCATTGATTTTAACTGAGCCAGACAACCACACCAGGATCCAGTTCGGTAAGGCGCTTTCAGCCTAAGTACAACTTTCACACCGCAGATACCACGAGCCATTCCTTCAGGATCGCCACTTACCCCAAGAGTGAAACGCTAAACATCTGGGCCCATCCTGTGTTGCTCCGGAGACATAACATACATCGACAGATAGGAAAAGTAAGGTTTCAGCAAGAGATGCTGCCCCGTCTGACATAGAGTACGGACATTGAAGGCTGCAACGTGGATCCGATTTCTTGAGGTTAGTTAGTGAGTATTCTTATTATTCTTCTGGGTGATGGTTTAGACACGGAACAATGGTCAGGGCAGTTGCATATGGGTTGATCGCATCGCATCATTCGATGGGTGCGCGAGAAGGCCGATGAACGAAGAGCTTCAAGGGCGAATGATACTTCCCGGTTGACCATGCCGACGAAAGGCGTTTGGTTGAGGTTTTGACTTAAAAGTGTGGTACACAAAGCAGTGGGAGAATGTAAACTTTTGTTCGGTGAACCTGCCCCTATTCTCTTACTCAAACATTTAGATCGTGAGGCAGCGGTTGTTAAGGCCCACTCAGTCACTCAGTTAGTAATCCGACCCACTTGGCTCCACGGAGCTATCCTGGCCCCAGGACGCATAACTTTCTGGCTTTCAAGGTAACTTCGCACATAGGCACCTACCGATTAGCACCAGACCGAACAGGATAATGCTGCGATGGTCACGGCTAATTTTTGAGCGATTGCAGTTCTTAGGGTTGGTGCATCCTAACCGGATCCTCCTCGAAGTATGACTGACTCGCTGCTTTCATAAATACGGATATGTCAATGCCTGGAGAGAACACCTTACTGACTTCACATTTCTATCGCAAAGGACAGTTCGATTTTACCTCCAGACTGCCTTGTCGCACGACCCTCACAGTACGGGGACTCGCTGTTCTTCGTTGGGCTGCTCCCCGTTGGCCTTCTTGGTATGGATAAATCTTACGGAACTGAGTTCTAGGCAGTGTAACCCGTAGGATCGTTGCAGCACTGAAGCCCAAAGATCACGGCAATGTGACATCTTCAGGCCGACAACCGATGTCCCTACGTTACTTCTACCTCCTCCGGCACTGGACCTAGTGTTCCTCCGTTCAACGGGATTTCTATTCCCTATTGCGTAAATCCCACAGAAGTTTAAATAACTAACTCACGGGAATTCAGAAGTGGCCTTGACTGTGGTTATTATTATATTGTTATTATTAGGGAACCCTTGTTGATCGATTTCGCTTTCCATCTAACTGACAACGGAAACCCCTTTGCTGCGGTGAGTTAACTAAATAATTATTCAATGGGAATGGAGGCCATCATTCAAGAAGCGGATCCCTTTCGAAGTGTGAACAGTTGACCAAAAAGTAACAAGGGCAATATTGGATTGAATTCAATGCTCCTCAGTATTATCTCACCCATGTTTTTCAACTCTATCATCGATGATAATAATCTCAACGTGCCTGCGGGGCTTTAATGCTAAAAGCACGCGATTCTCAGCCGTCGATAATTTCGGATGTGTTTTCTGTTGTTCATCTGCATTGTGCAACAATATCTTGGAAATGGAAGACAAAGGCCACGGCAGATTAAGTTGTCCGCTTAAGATACTGTATTCAGAAACCTCGTGAGACTTCGATAGGGTTGTCAACAAGCAAAACAGGACAGCCCAGTCAATTCGCTCATTCTTGGACTACTCGTCAGGCAGCACTGGAACAATTTAGGGAACCAGCTTTTCAGGCAGCTCTGGCTAACGTTGTGGATACGTCATATGGTTGACAGCTTCCTAATTGTTTTACGATCTTAGATAATTGATCTCCACCGGGATACCAGTCTGGTCCCAGCCATTATAGGGGTTGGGGAAACTGAAGGGCACGAGAGATTCCACCGAGGCTCCCGTCAACAAATGAGAATGCCTAGATGAAAGTTTTACCCATTCTTTGGATATTTTGCATTTAAGACAGCCAGATTTTACTATTCGTGTCACGAAAAGCAACGCTGATTGATGCATTGCTATCAATCCACCAAAGGCCAGCTTGTCGTAGCCTACGTAAACCATTTCGCGAAGAAAAAAGACGTCTTTTGAATAAAGTGAAGCTAACTGACTATCCAAAGCGACTGATATGTTGCATTTCAGCTACCAAGTCAACGCTAACAGATCAAACCTGGATGGCCAGTTCGCAACGATGCTCTACATTTCTTTGGTTCCGTGGGGAACGGAAAACTACACTGAAACTTCTGGGGTAAAATTAACGTATGTCAGAGACTGCGATGCGAGTCGATTTTTGTATACACAATCTTTCATATCATCGGCGGATTTGGATTCCTTTACTGGTTCTGGTGGCGCGACTGTGGTCGAGCTTATGAAGGTGATGCAGGACAGCACGGGCCTAAACTGGATCCAGGATGTTTCGAATCCCACCTCAATTTCGACTGAACGCTAGTGTCAGCGATTTACGTGAGCTCACTGAAACCACGGGGAACAGGAACGACTGGCGTTGAAAGCCATGTAGCTTGGTAAACGGCCTCGCCTGTTAACTTCATTCAAATAAATTGACGTGGTTGTACGGCATCAAACCACCAGTCTTCTCATCTGGTGTTTCTGATACTGATGACGAAAACCTCGCTTACGCACCCGGTGTCGTGTTAGAGCCTTTTACAGAGGGAAACCGGGAAAGAGATGAACGCTGTGATCACAGCGTGGCTTCCTAATGACTTCAGAGAGGGCGGTGTGAAATTTGCCGAGTCGATGATAAGTATTATGTCGATAGAACTGTCTTTCATTTTTGACCTCGTTGCATAATGTGAATGCTTAAAATAATGAATGTATCAAACTAAGTCTAATCCCCTTCGAAATAGACGATCCTCCATCTCGTTTTAATAAGCCTATCATAAGCTGTGAAACTGTGTGCATGGAAAATTCCTAAGCAAAAAATACTAATAGGTAAAGGAAACCACAAACAAGGTTGCTGAAAACTTCGACAGCCCACGACCGGTTTCGCCCTTCTTGAGGTTCATCAGGTAGGCGCAGTTCCCGAGTTTCCGTCAAACTTATGTTCTACTTGAACATAGATTGGACTGGTTTTCACGAGAGACTCAATTGAATTTCTCGTTTATGATATTCTACAACTGAATGTGCTGCATACAGGCCGCCTGATGTTTCAGTTGACACGATATTCGAGATATCGCAGTATATTTTCATAAAGGAAACTACTCCCAAGGTTGCTGAAAACTCTTCGAGAGCCCACTCAGTTGAGTCCCTCGTGAAAACCAAACTGAGTTGCAAATGAGTGTATTTCTCGAATACTAATTGGTATTTTGTGTTTGTTTACATCGGTAATCGTATTCCAGCTGACCACCCTTGATTTGGGTAGTCATTTATTTCGTCTATAATAAAACTGCAGTTTCCACATTCCAGACGTTTTCGCATATTCAGGACTCACTGGTGTTGATTTGGACGGAGATACTCCACCAGTCGTAAGCATCAACATAAATGCAACGGATTCAAGCACGCTCGTGCCCTTTTCTTGCATGAAGCAAGCATATTTGTATCAAACCATCCATTGAGAGTGTTACGAAATTAAAAAAACCGATGCAGAATGCAATTCAGTCAAAATCACATGCGCAAACTGATGGTTCTCTTACACAAATTGAAGTTCCCAATCTACAATCCAGCCAAATGAAAGTAACTCGTTGAACGCATAGTCTATAAAGGCCTGCCGCATGGACTATTACCCCACTAAGGAACCCGGAAGTGATGAAATAGAGAATTAGTTCGAGAAGTAGACTAATTTACAAATCAATTTTGTTTTCACGAGGGACTTAACTGAATCTCTCGTTTATGATTTTCTACGACTGAATGTGAGTCTCTCGTGAGAACTAAATTGATTTGCAAATGAGTGTATTTCTCGAAAACAGTTCAATTTGGGTTCAAGTAGAACATAGGGTTGACGGAAACTAGGGGACTGCGCCTACCTAATGAGCCCCAAGAAGAGCGAAACCGGTCGTGGACTGTCGAAGAGTTTTCAGCAACCTTGTGAGTAGTTTCCTTTATGAAGGGAATTAATTCTCCTGTGCTCCCTACTACTGACTAACTGACTCAACTGGCTGACTCATATCGATCTATCTAAGCAATGGATCGAACAAATTTGAATCCAGTTTACCTGTACGTCTACAGCTGCTGTACATAGGATTCTATCTTTTGTGGCAGTTAAATATAAGCGGAACACACCTATTCTCCACGTGCACTAAAAGCTATCATACTATTTGTGGGAGAGATGACGAAGCTGGCCAACGTGTTCACCAATTTTTTCAAAGGTCGCCATATGAGAAAACCGGTGACGAAACCGCCAGAAGCCGTCGGTCAACCCGGTGGCACGCCGAATATTGGAGACAAAGATTCCGTAAATGAAGGTGGCTCAAAACCCTGTGAAATGGCCACATTTTGTGAGGGTGGGGTAAACCGAGCAGAGGGGGAAACAGTGGGGAACGTAAGTCCCAGTTCACCAGTTACTGATCAAAACTACGTTTGCGATAAACACAATGACCAAGTGGTTGAAGGCGCAATTGCGAATTGTTTAGAACGGAGTAGTCCCGCCACACCAAATGAATATAACGAGCATCTAGATCAAGCTTTGTCACCTGTGAGTCAGAGTTGACCTATAGAACTCAATCTACCGGCTTCATCGGGCTCACTCATTGCTTCTAGAGACATGATGCCATTTCAGTATACATACAGTCAAATGTCACACGGGCACTGGTCGACATCTGGTTAAACATGCCTGGTAATAATTATGTTCATTGCGTTTTCCTGAATTGTGTCAAGTTTTCTTGAGTGAAATTTTATTTTTTTTATGTTCAATATATCATATGGCCAAGTGACTTCATCGTCAATTTATGTATTGATGACTGTGGGAGAAAGCACCGTTCAGGCTGAGGTGAATGAGTCAGCTACCCTGGTCCATCGTCTACAAGTGCAAGGAATTTTTATTCTGGAAGTAGTCAGTAGATCATAGGAACGTCTCGCTTTCACAAATCGTCTTTAGTCTGTTCACATCGAATGTCTTAATAGGTCCTAGTGCATGACGAAGGCGTATCAGCGTCGTTTACTACTCTAATGCTTGGAGCGGAGGTATTTAATGTGGTTCACTCCAACAAGAATTTTTCACCGTGTTGATCAACCGAGCGCATCATCATCATTGTCAGCTGTAATAACCGCGTACTCGTTGTACAGTGGTTGTAGCTGTCGCAGTTTCGTTCACCGAGGGCGTAACAGTGAGTGTGTCTCAATTCGGTGTAATTTCCCTCTGTGTAACTTTTGTCTGGCAGTAGTTGTGATGAGTACTCCAGCAGTAAGCCACATGCTCAATTCCTCATAAAAGTCATCGATCTGAACGTTGAAAAGAGGACGAATGGTGAAACGTTCCCTCAGTGAAGAACATCGCATTCAGTAAAACGCATCGGTGGTATAAATTTAGTTTGATAAAGGTCGCCATATGAGAAAACCGGTGACGAAACCGCCAGAAGCCGTCGGTCAACCCGGTGGCACGCCGAATATTGGAGACAAAGATTCCGTAAATGAAGGTGGCTCAAAACCCTGTGAAATGGCCACATTTTGTGAGGGTGGGGTAAACCGAGCAGAGGGGGAAACAGTGGGGAACGTAAGTCCCAGTTCACCAGTTACTGATCAAAACTACGTTTGCGATAAACACAATGACCAAGTGGTTGAAGGCGCAATTGCGAATTGTTTAGAACGGAGTAGTCCCGCCACACCAAATGAATATAACGAGCATCTAGATCAAGCTTTGTCACCTGTGAGTCAGAGTTGACCTATAGAACTCAATCTACCGGCTTCATCGGGCTCACTCATTGCTTCTAGAGACATGATGCCATTTCAGTATACATACAGTCAAATGTCACACGGGCACTGGTCGACATCTGGTTAAACATGCCTGGTAATAATTATGTTCATTGCGTTTTCCTGAATTGTGTCAAGTTTTCTTGAGTGAAATTTTATTTTTTTTATGTTCAATATATCATATGGCCAAGTGACTTCATCGTCAATTTATGTATTCATGACTGTGGGAGAAAGCACCGTTCAGGCTGAGGTGAATGAGTCAGCTACCCTGGTCCATCGTCTACAAGTGCAAGGAATTTTTATTCTGGAAGTAGTCAGTAGATCATAGGAACGTCTCGCTTTCACAAATCGTCTTTAGTCTGTTCACATCGAATGTCTTAATAGGTCCTAGTGCATGACGAAGGCGTATCAGCGTCGTTTACTACTCTAATGCTTGGAGCGGAGGTATTTAATGTGGTTCACTCCAACAAGAATTTTTCACCGTGTTGATCAACCGAGCGCATCATCATCATTGTCAGCTGTAATAACCGCGTACTCGTTGTACAGTGGTTGTAGCTGTCGCAGTTTCGTTCACCGAGGGCGTAACAGTGAGTGTGTCTCAATTCGGTGTAATTTCCCTCTGTGTAACTTTTGTCTGGCAGTAGTTGTGATGAGTACTCCAGCAGTAAGCCACATGCTCAATTCCTCATAAAAGTCATCGATCTGAACGTTGAAAAGAGGACGAATGGTGAAACGTTCCCTCAGTGAAGAACATCGCATTCAGTAAAACGCATCGGTGGTATAAATTTAGTTTGATCATCGGTGTCTCCGATTGGAACATTGGGTCGGCGACGCTGAGGTACACCTGATGGTTTTAAGTAAAAGAAACTCTCGATGAGCTACGTGGGCTACATTGCTTAGGATATGTACACCGCATGTCAGAGAACGGTCGGCCTCGCAGAGTTAGTTATTTCCGCCCAGCCCTGTACTGAGTAGAAGCGGCCAAGAGGCGGATAGCGTGTGGCGTCGCAAAAAAAACAATAGAAACACTAACCAGTAAATTGAGTCGGGTCGGCAAATGCCGCCGCTTGACTGAGCTCACCAGTGGTTGACAGCACTGGCAAGCATGGCTCAATCACGCAGTCATTGGAGCTCGTACATCAAAGCTGTTGCCTTCATTGCATAGCAGTCGATTTTCAGGTACCTCAGAGCAATATACATTCCGAATTAACCGATTACGCCATTGTCTCCAATGCTTGGCGATATAGGTCACGCCGTACCATTTTACAGTGACCGAAACTTTGGCACCTGGAAACAGTGTAGTTGGTTTATAGCCGCTTGACTGAAACGAACTGACAAATCTAATTTGAACTTGTACAGCCAAGAAGGTCGCTTAGCCTCATTTGGTTTTCTGAATGTCCTATTACACACTTGGACACTGTTGACTGTTAGACACTAAAGACTCCTTGGGGCCGTTAACCACTACACTGTTATGGTATCCTAATCGTTTCCAACCACAGTACCCTATCCACAAGGAACCGTACGCAAGTTCCCTCAATTTTTCTCCACAAACGTGGTGCACTTTTTAGACGGACCACAAATATGACGCATCTCTTGAGTCTGCCACACCTGATTAACGAAAAGTCCGGTGTCTTCGGATGTTTTCAGCAGCAAACCGGCGGTAGTTAGTCGAGTCAACCACAGTTTGTGTTCCAACACGCAGTGTCGAACTGAGACATAATGCTGATGATTGTCATCTTGAAGTTTCTTTCTGGTAGATGATTTCGCCAACTCTTAACCATAGATTTCTCTAGGACGTAAGGGATATTGGAAAGTGTGTTTATTGGAGCCAATCTATTAATCTCGTATACACTGTTGTCAGACTGAATGGTTGCACGTGTTCTTAAACTGCAAATCTGCCAGAAACGTTTCCTACCCTGTTCTTCAAAGATACTTCACACTGCACTAGGGGAGTCAAGGTTTGACATTTCAGCCTTCCACAAAGTGGTTTGCCACGCATCAAGTGTTTCGGTACGGTACAGTACCGTCAACAGTTGATGACATAACCAGAAGTTATGAATGCTTTAAGAGGACAATCTAGCAAGACCGGCAATCGACATCCGGGTCAGGCAGCAGATAACAGTCAGAGATGCTGTAGATAGTAACAAGGCTGCACCCCTAAACTGATCAATCAACCTAAAATCGTCCTGTTATCTAGTTGCAGTCTCTGCCAATTCACAGTACTGTCAAATATGCTGGCGTTCCAGGTCTCGATTTATATATTTCGCCGGCAATAAACACCTCAAGGACCACAGGCGACAGGTATTCAAAGAAAGAGAACAGGTTCGAACGACTAAGCGAAAAAGGAGTAAGTGTGAGCTCAGTCCTCGTACGTGCCGGTCATAATTACTAACGTAAACACTCTGAGAAAAACCAGACTGGTTTTGGCCATCGTGATAGATGGAATCGGGAAGGTGGGGATTCATGAACATCCAGGAATTACGTCTTTGGTTGCCCAGTTTGTCTAAGCATCCGGATAAATGGAACTTTGGACACAACTGGAACAGTCTATATTGTGTGCTAAACAAGCTGGACGCGCTACCGTGTTCAGTCCATTGTGGTGAGAACTTCCTGTTCGGAAACTTCTGTTCACGTCCAGGTGTGTAATGACTGAGATCAACTTTGGCCTAAGAGGGATGTGAGGTTACCACAAATATGGAAGCTAGAAGACTCATCATCATTGTCAGCTGTAATATCCGCGTACTCGTCGTACTGTGGTTGCAGCTGCCGCAGTTTCGTTCACCGATGATTTGGGGGAGGGGGAGGTAGCTGCGCATTGCAGGCGGGAGCTGATAAATTAGTGCATAAATCCAGCACTGTCAGTGGGTTGTCAAGTGGAAGGAGGTTGGAAAAGGTGCTAGGTATTGAAGGCAATAGCTTTGATACACGAGCGCCATTGAGGGCGCGACTGGGCCATGTCTAACAATGTCTCTAGCCATTGATGTGGCCCGTCTCGGGGTCCCCATCCAGAAAGACGGCAAATGGAAATCGTCTGTGTACTGAGTTCTGTTGTGATATTTTGAGGAATGAGAATTCGGAATACAAATTAGGATTTTGTGGCAAAGCAATATGTCTAGATATCACGAACGTGAACGCATAACCTAGGCCAAAAGGCTTCGATCTGACCAGGTAAGATCAATAGCTGATTTTGTACTCATAAATGAGTGATAGCTGGCTGAAATCCTCAAACCAAACTCAATACTGGGTCAAAGTGGCCTAGCATGGCCATCTGGGAGATGGTGAGCGCTCATTTAGAAATTTGTGGGATACACGAGGCTAAAGTTTGAACCGACACACTGAGTAGTAAAAAAGCTTGGCGGGTGAATTGTATGTATGTATGACCTAAGCTTATTGATTCGGCTACCTATCACACCGTTACTGATTGCAGACTCCTCAAATGACTTCTGGTGGTCTACTGGCAGCATCTCCCAAACAATTCGCCAACTTATAGAATGTGAAGTCAATCGCATACTGGTCTTTGATTTATGAAAAATATCACCTCTGCTCAAAAACAAGTCAAGTCACCTCGAAGGACAGAACCACGGCTCAGGAATGACTTCGTAGCCGAAATGCAGCTTGCAGATGTGGCTTGACTACTTCTCATCCGTTGTATAGCACTGATGCGGAAGAGCAAAGTGCACCGCCAATAATCATGACAGAGGGTTTCCAAACTTGTCGCTCGACCGGTAACAGTGCAACCTAATATCCCATTGTTATAAAAACCAAATGATTCTATTCCTCTTACTTCTTTTGCAACACATTGGCCACGGACAATGTGCCCGTAAGCACTCAATTTTTAAGCGAAGCGTGCTTTTCTATTCTGATAGTTCACTGGAATATCGTGTGTTTGAAACCGTGTGTTCCGTCTGGGACGCATCTTCAGGTACCAACAAACCTGCCTAGACTTCCCCCGACAAATAGCAGCGCTCTACTCGAAAACCCAAGGTGAAGGGTTTTATTACGCAGGTCTAAGAATAAAAATTTCTCTACCTGATTTAGGTTTTAGTCATCCAATTGCCTGTCAGCTACATTACTATTGTTCCAGTGGCCTTCCTGGGGCACTTCGAAAATAAATGCCTGCTAACCAGTGTGTATTATATTTTGGACGTAGTCGTTGCTGTCTAACTAACTACTTAGGGGATCAAGTAGTCTGTAGCAAACCACTGGATGACATATAACCGGTGTATGTTATTTATATACACTTCCTTAAGCTCTTGACAGAGGGCAGCACCAACTCCATCTTTGAGAGACTGAGGGTTATGTCGTTTGCCACCCACCAATTGGAAGACAAGTGGATGAGCAACTGATAAATACCAGTCCCAATCGGTGGCGCATTTTCTCCTCCCCCTCCTCCTAATCATCATGATCATCGACTCTGGCAGTTAAAACTTCTTTGTGTTACACAAAAGATTCAGAAAAAGCATGATTTTCATCCATTCTACCCACAGTCACTGTCCATTTGGTTGTACTTTCTCCAACTCATTATCAGCCTCCTCTGTGTAGAGTACAATGAAGTATTTCTGTTTCTTTTGTCCATTCCTTCCATATGAATTTGATAGCTCTTTATAGCAAACACGAGCAAAACTCAGTTTTTATTCACTGTGCCTCCTGCACTTTCGATTTTTTCAAGGCGAGTTTCATTCAGACCTGTCGTTTTGTCCTTTGGTGATCGCGAACAACTTATTGCAAAGTTCGCCATGTTGTTTAGTTGAGAAGCGTCTCAGTTAACACAAAGTCTGACCGCTTGGTTGTCCGAGATGCATGTCGACAGATGTTGCGTTCTATGAGAGCTAAAATGTGAAACAACCAAAAACCAAGACAACGTACGACTTGGTCAAAGGGAATGAAGATCAGTTGGACAAACCTTTTTAGAATGGGCGAGCATAACCAGTAGTTTTGGGGTTATCAGGATGTTGA